CTCCAAGCCAATACATTCGTAGCAAACCCAAATGGAAATATACGACGGAGAAATCACAAACGTATGAACATAAGTGGATTGCATTTTGCAAAAAGGAACCAGAAGCATTGCAATAATGCTAAGATTGTGCAACTTCATCCTTTGCAATTTAATTACTAAAATCATGAAATAATATAAAATTTTCATGGTAATTTTTGTCTTAGATTTACAGTTTTTAGCGAGTAAAATAGGAACTGTTAACGGATAATCAGGTTTTTCCTCCAAGCCAAAATAAGGGGTACAATCTTAGCAACATTGCAATGCTCCTGGTTCCTGTTTGCAAAATGCAATCCAAGTAATCTACGGAAAAAACAAGACAACCATTTCAACAATTCATTGATTTTGAGTTTTCGGCATCAAGTTCATTTTTTCTATTTTATGGTGTCAAAATCGTTGTAGACAATATCCTAACGTTTCGAACGTTGTAAAGTTACGAAGTTTCACGCAAAGAAAACCGCAATTTCCACACCCTCATTTAAGGAGGGTGGGGGAGGGCTGTCCACTGACTTCGGCAAGAAGGGTGCGTGGGTGCGTGGGTGCGTGTCAGAGAGATTAACAAGGCGCGGGAGCAAAAATTAAAGCGCTTGAGGTGTGTTTACGTATTATACGCTATGTGTCACAGACGATTTTTCTACCGGAAACGGAAACTCAGCTAGAGAAACGCATCAATCACGCTCCAATCCCACCCTCGCATTCCCGCCACAGGCTTCATGCACCACGTTGCCGTTGCCCTTCCAGTCCGAAAATCTATGGTGATAACTTTTGAGAATGAGGTGGTTACCCGACTATCCAAGTAAGCTAAAAGTTTAACAATCTAAGAATTGCATAATGCTATCAAACTATTTCCCAGCGAGATGGTATCCTCTGGAGGATATTTTGGATATTTTTTGTTTAAAGTGAGACTGTTTTAACTCATAGACTTGAAACAAGAATGTTCAGCCAAGAGCGGATAGACGTTACCGGTAAATTGTTGATAGTGAATATTCCGAATGTGCCGCCGTGTTACTGGAAAAAAAACACATTGGAAATAGAGTCCAGACTCTTAAAAACATCGACAAGAAAAAGTACTCTTGATTCAATCAGAATCTAGCTTAAATCAAGAGCCAAGCCTCTTAATTTAAGCGGATTTCGTTTGAATTCAAGCAAAAATCCGATTGAATCAAGAGTATTTTTTCTTGTCAATGTTTTCAGGAGTCTGGACTCTAGATATAATGTGTTTTTATTTCCAGTGTGCCCCGGATAAAACAAGTATTTTTGAAGAAAGTTGCGCATGTTTTTCCTTGAAATTTTCAGGAGCTTTAGGTGGAATTGCGAACAAAATCATATAAACAATTGGAAGAAAAATATTCTAATTTTTTCCAGTAACTTCAGTTTTTATTAAAGGAAATCCGGTAACGTCTAAAAGCTCAAACGGCGTTTTCCCTTAGCACGGCAGTACAGTCCTCTGTTAGGGTCTTAGATTTATAATATAGAATCTTAATAATACTATGTTTTTTGTCCAGGTGGCAACCCTACCGACGAAGGGCGGTGTTTTGACTGGAGGCTCCAAGTTTGGCCTGTTCTTGGTCTTCAGCAGGAAATTAGAAAGCCCCTGTTGCTGCCATGGTCTCCCGTTGCAGCACTCCAGCACTTGTCAGCCTCAGACAAACCTCTCGCAATGAGTCTCTTCCGACTAACAATAAGGGCGGGGTTGAGGATGTGTTGAATTAGAAATCTCGCTTGTTTAAATGTAGCTTACTAATTACTCGCTGACGTGTGTGTCTTTTTAGCTCCTTTTGATGTCGTGTCGGGAAGCTTTGATTATACAAATGCTGCTGTAGCGCCAATGGGAATACCGGAATAGTATTCGCCAGACCAGTATGAAACTAGGCATTAAACGCCATCACTATCATTAAGTCTTATGGAGAAATACAGCTTTAAACCTCTTTTTCTCGGTTCAATCTTGGTACGATACGTTGGCGAGGCCTGAATGATTTATTTTCGATATTTCCCCATTTAAAGTTGTGGTAAAGAATCGATTATAAAGGTGTTTGTTGCAAACACCTTGTTTGCCTATCCTTTTTCAAAAGGTTTAAAGGCAGATCAGTCAATATATCGCAAAGCGCGCCACGCCACAGGTATAGTGACTGGTGGTTTGGTTCTTTTCTGTCATACTCGGTGCAGATGTAACCGATTGATGCATATCGGTGTCTTAAGGTGATTCGATGGACGGAATATTTTGTGTCAGAACGGCATGCGATATATCGCATCAATTGGTTCCATTTTTGCAGCTACTCGTCATTTTTCTCCAATTTTGAGATCGCAATTTTGTTGTCAGGAGACTAATGCACTCACTTACCAATTTTAACAAAGAAATTCAACGTAATAAAAGCGTGGTTTTTTTAGAGAGAAAATATCGCATTTGAGTGCAGTTTCGATTCAGTATCGAATGCGATGTTTTCTCTCTAAAAAACTACACCTTTATTACGTTGAATTTGTTGGTAAAAATTGGTAAGTGAGTGCTTTAGTCTCCTGACAACAGAATTGCGATCTCAAAATTCGAGAAAAATGATTATATAGTAGCTGAAAAAATAGAGCCAATCGATGCGATATATCGCACGTCGTTCTGAATTGAATCACCTTAAGTCAAAAAGTGCTTAAATGCAAATGTGGTGTATATCAAGTCTTCCCATGTGTTTAATTTAAAAAAAAAAATTAAAATGAACTCATTGTTTTTCTTGAAATTTTGTGCGAATTTCCTTTTTCCATGAAAAATTATTGCGTAAACTTTGAACAAGAATTTTCGATGAGAAAAATTTTCATGGGAAAAAAATAAACGATACTAGAAATGTTCAAACATTGCAATGAAGATACGCATTAATGGACTACAGTCACCGATATGCAAACATAATTTTTCAGTAGCGTGCCTTACTCACATATGATGAGAGAGAAAAACGCGTCAGTCATATGGATCAAGTCGTGTGGATGCTTTGATATCTGGTCAAACCATAGTTTTATCAATGAGAAGAACCAAAATCCACAAGCGCTTCAAATCTTAAAATGGTCCGGTAGAGTTTTAAAGAAACAGTAGTAACGTAAATAATCATGTGCATGTGTGATCAAAGTTTCATTGAGCGAGGACTTATTCAAGACAAGACTGCGGTCTTAAATTGTGAAGTGCCTTCAAAGTCCCGTGATACTCTACGCATTACCATGGAGTTACTTTAGTGGCCTGCTACCCGATCCGAACCCAACTTGAGTCTCCAAAACCAAAATTAATACTCATCTTAAGGGTCCTTGAGAGTGATACAATTTTGGCACATGGCACCTTCACTTTCGTGTGACACATTACGCTCTGCATTGCAGTTAGATTCGTGGCCTGGCAAATTTAAACATTAAACAAATTGGTTCTCCTGAATGGAACTGCTGTATGTTTTGATGTCCGTTCGTCATGTGTGCTTTTTCTTGGTGTGATTAAACATATTCCCGAAATTTTTATGAACAGTAGGAAATAATTTCTCATTCGTTGGAAAGAAAAAAATGCTTCCTTCCTTCTCTTCTATGGATTAATTTCATTATTTAGCAGATGGTCGCCAATTTTTTCGTAGCTTTCTTACGTAGCGTAAAATTCTGGAACCTTGCCGATTTTCATTCTTTATTGCAATCATTCTCCACTGTCACTCTCTAAAATTGCGTAAAAGGAAGTAAAAAACGAGGAACAGGCAGGGAGGATATACAGGAATGCGGGGTAAAATATGAAAATTTAACGCGAAATGAAAATCAATAGTGTCCGCATTCGAAAGAAGTCGTTTTTGAGCGATTAAACGTTGTTTGATCGATCGGAATGATCGCGCCTTAATTCTGCCTATTGACCATGTAGAGGAAAAAAGAGGGAAAAGAATAGAATAGAAAAAATCCCTTAGAAAAAATAAATAAAAGTTTAATGGGAGAGTTGTAAAATCTTCTTTGGGCAGCTACTGCATTCCTCGCAGGTAATCAGTTTCCCGCCGGATCACTATTATGCGTTGCCAATTCTCTCCCGAAACTTCAATATTTTAAAAATAGATGACTATCAGTCGAATTTGAATAATTTGGGTGCGGACACTTGAAGAGACTTCCCAGATAAGACAGAAATATTTAGCCAATATTGTTTTGATATTTATGCAAACATTGGGCCAATATTGGTTAAATATTGAGCCAATGTTTAAAGTGTACACCATATTTCCTTTTGGCATAAACACTGTGCCAATACTTAAGAATACTGTGAAATACTGTGCCAATACTGTGAAAATATTTTTTTTTTTATTTTTTTTATTTTATTTTTTTTTTATTTTTATTTTTTTTTATTTTATTTTTTTTTCTTTTTATTTTTTTTTATTTTTCTCGGTAAACATATTATTTTTAAAAATACTAAATAAAGATTCTTTAAATATTTTTTTAAAGATAATTTTGATTAAAATATGATCAAAATATTGTCAGGATTGTGTAAATATTGCGACAATACTGACAATATTTGCCCAATATTGTAAAAATATTATGTCTTATCTGGGTTATATCAGGCGACTTGCATGAGAATCAGTCCCGCACTGCATTTAAAATCAGTTCCATGATGCATTCACAATCAGAGTAACTATTTCCGCGGCAGCATGGCAACATAGGATCCTCCTCCAAAGAATCATCAGTCGAGAGCAATTCCACTGGTAAAAAAGGCGGCAGGGGTACGTAGGGGGGTGAGGGGGAGTCGTGGGGCACGCAGGTATGGGTATTATAAGGCGGTCTGCCGAGTCACCTGGGTGCACATTGTTAACACTCGGGTTTCTTCGGTCATTCTCGGGCAACTCCGTAAATAGTTAAAAATATGCATCCGAACCGGACTCCAGGCGAAGCCTCCGAACCTCCCCCTAGCCCCGCGCACCCTGCCCCTCCCCCCCGCGGACAGCTATGGTTGTAAAGTATTCTACAAGCGAGACTCGTGGTATCCCAGCTCCGCGGCCCGGGATTTCAACCAGTTTGATTCCGACAGTCGCACGGGAAGGCTGTGTCGCTGCCGGCAGCTCGTTTGCAAGCGGCATATTGGATTTTACTTCTGTTCCTCGCGGATCCTTGATTTGTTTTTGCGGTAGAATGTAATTTCCCGTCTTTTAATTTCTCCCCGGGTGTGTTTCTCGACTTGTGTCCTGTTCTCGTGTCTCGAATCCAGTGCTAACGACGATTTCCACGACTCCTGTGTCCGTGATCCTTGTGGTTTTCTTTCGCTGAAATGTTCCTCGTGCGGGATTGTTGATAAGTTTTGTGTTTTGCAGTTTGAGGAATACGTTTTCGTCATCATGGCTTGGAGGTTTCACTTAGTGATTTCGTCGCTGTTGTTCTGCATCTATGCCTGCGAAGCAAGGGCTCATTGGAGTATTTACATGACTGAAGCTGAGGTTAAGAAATTGATAGGTGAGTTATCTTCACATTTCAACCAACAATCAAATCATTCTTGAGATGTTTCTTCTAATCCTAAGCATGATAATCTCTTACGCAGGTGTTTGGCATTAATCACAACTAGTATTTCTATACTTTCCCTCAGTTTATAAGCTTTTCAGAAGTACCCAACGAGGTTTGTTTACACCCTTATCTTCTCTACTTTGACGGACATGTTATTGTAGCTTTTAGGCCTGGTATCTCAACCCAACAAGTTATTTGCGTACTTAAATTATTGCGAGAGTGAATTGGACGTAGGTACTCAAGAAAAAGGAGATATATCTGCAAGTAATTTCGCATGTATGTGAACTTTTTGCTCGAAGAAATGCGTCCATTAATTGATAGAGACCGAAGCCTCTTTTTCTCTTGATTTGCTCGTGAAGTCCTGCCAGTCTTCATTCACGGCAGTTTGTACTCAAGAGGGTTTTAATCGTAAAAAAGTAGTTTCTCTTTCACTTCTATGTGCTTACAGCGTTAATATTATACTCGTCGACTTATGAAAACATGTACCTTAGTCTGGAATGCGCCTTTTTGCCTCATTCATTCAACGAACGCATTTACTTATCCAGCGCTTGTAAGCTCGCCTTCAGATATTTCGGTCCGAAACATGATGTCAAGTATGTAATAGTAGTTAACCATTTAGATTTGAAACTGAAATCAGACAGATTTCGGTCTGCACGAGAGGATCCGAGAATTTTCCAGAGCGCGAAGAGTTGTGTAAACGTTGAAATGGTCTATATTTATTATTGTATTATGGTCGGTTTCACACTATTTTCCCGCTAAAGAACGTACCTACTTAGCTAGATACCTAAATTCGCTGGCTCTTCAAGTATTTTTCTATAAGCAGACAATTCTGCCGTGTACATAGGTAATGTTTGTTCCGTGAACAACCCTCCACGAGCCTTCTCGTCTAGGTTGATGCACCACTCTTTTACCAAAAGGCTGACGGAGATAAGATATCACCCGCACAACCGTCCACACATCAGTTGATGACTGTCAACGTTTAATCGCAATTGAGAAACCAAAATTGGTTTTGCGTCGAGTCTCTCCCATCACTTTATGGGTTACCTACCCTCGAATCCCTACGATTCAAGTACGTTTTTGGAGTGTTTAGTCTCCGAATAGAGCATCTTCCGTTTTGCTCTTCGGAGAGAAAAATAATTATTTTCATGACTACCAAAGCATCGGGATGTATTCGAACCGGTTACTTACCCATGGCTAAATTACAAGACCCCACACTACAAGTAGATGTAAGGAAGAAGAATCGAAATTATTCAGACATTAGGTAGCAGTGATTCTGAAACAATTTGGCAGAATATCCCATGTAGGGACTGGCAGAGATGTAGATGTACAAGATCTGTTTCTCCAAAAGAACAGATTCCCTCCTTCATTCCTGGAAGTAATGGATAGGTATATCATTACGAGTCTATTCATCTCATTTTGATCATCATCTTACGTCTACGCATCCCATTTATCGGGCGTCGCTGCTTGGCCCCCGGCCAAATCGGCTGCCGCTGAAACGTGGGCTTCCCGGTTTCATGCGTTCGATATCGGGTCCCTGGCTCGGATACACGATACCAACTCCGGCAGAAGTGAGTCAAGTACATGTGGATTTATGCATGTATCGGGCCTATGAGATGGAATTTTAAGTCGGCTCAGGATTCCATTCCCAAGTTGTGCCTTCCTCCCCAGACCCAGGCGCGTATTTTTATCTAATCAATATTCTCGATCCAAGTTACACATCGCTGATCTTTAGGCAGAGCCTGGTCGTGGTTTAGCAATAAAAACAGGATAAGCAGGCTCCGCCGTTTTCAATCTTTTTATGGACAGAGCTGACTATTGGCTTTCGATGCAGATGCGGACAGCTGTGCTTTAAGGCTCGTGAAAAATCAATGAAACTAGACTTTTGGTATCATAAAGATGGGGGTGTGTTTTTTTTTTTTTTTTTTTTTTTTAAAAAAACTGGTCTAGTCGGCTAAATCTGCGCAATAGGTACCGCCATCCGAAAACAGGACCTAATTTAACAGATGAGAACCAAGTCACATCAACATCGAAACGAAAACATGAGGATTGTTGTATGAAAACTCGGAGTCGTATGCATCATAATCATTCTTTAATCTTCAATCAGTTCGTTTTCTTCACTGGGGAAAAAAAAAAAAAAAAAAAAAAAAAAAAAAAAAAAAAAAAAAACACATTTGGTCTAGAGTCCTGACTCTTTAAAACATCGACAAGAAAAAGTACTCTTGATTCAATCAGAATCTAGCCTAAATCGAGAACCAAGCCTCTTAATTTAAGCGAATTTCGTTTTGATTCAAGCAAAAATCCGGTTGAATCAAGAGTATTTTTTCTTGTCAATGTTTTCAAGAGTCTGGACTCTAGATCCAGTGTGTTTTCTTTTCCAGTGTTTGGAGGCCTCATACCTTCGTTTCCCTTACGAAAGATCATAACTACATTTCAATGTTGCTAAATTTCTCCTCGCAAATGGCATTTTCATGAAGAGATCGAATTTTGGGCATTTCTAAGTGAAAATTCCACTTCTTTTCCCTCGGGTTCCTGCAAAAATCAGATAAATGTTCGACGAAAATTGCTAAGTAGGTACCAATATTCTTGTAAAAAAGTGAATTGCTTGAGTCAACGTTCCAACCTTCGAATGAAGTTACGTTTCTCCAATCAGGAAACGACGATATGGTTACCTAACATTAAAACTGAGGGAAGTTTAATGGGGCTCTTAGTATGGTACCATACAAAGGAGTCAAATTCAAGAGTATAACTTTGGAGATAGATCTTCACAAGTGTTTAATCGGTAACTTCATAGAATATTCCTCGCACAGAAGAAAAAGTTCCGAAAGTCTTCAAGGTTGTCCAAAATTTAAAGGACCGAGGTCATGATGCTCCTTCCTCTGAGTATTCATCTAAATCCCTATCAAATGAAGATCCTTTTATCGCTATCGCTGTACCAGCATCCAATGAAATGTTTCTTTCCCCGCGCCCTATAACTCTTTCCTACGACCCCGAAGTCAAACCCTCTCAATTAGGGAGTTATTATCAACCCATAGAGAACGAAGTAAAAACCGTCGGAAAAATGATTAATGCTACGTCATGCCGCCGTGTTTGCGTCACGCTTTTGCATAGAGCTGTCTTTTGATTTATACGACTTTTTTTTAAGAATATGCGTCATTTAATTACGTTCAACCCCTGGTTGCCTCGCTCTGAGGAAGGTGCGAGGTAGGGGAAGGTTAGGATAAGATCATTACTTCATGCCCTGTCCCCGTAATGTCTTTATTTCTCACTCCAATTGCAGCTCAAGCTCTAACGAGGCTCCCTAAATCTACATAACGAGCTATTAAAAGTAGAAATGCGAGTCGAAATAGCCGGAGCTCGGTCCCCCGTAATTTTGCATTTTAAAAAGTAATTTGGCGTCGAGGCAGAATGTGACACCGTAATTTCTCATTTCTCCCCGTAAGCTTTTTTGCTTTACGTGAGAAATGGTGTTATTTTATCCTGCTGTGACGAACCCTCCCGAGAGTGTTGCCTCTCCCTCTCGGAAACGAGAGCCAGCCCCAGGGAGCAAATTGAAGTATTTCCCTAATAGAGTGATAACGGCACACGATTTTGCTGATGGTTATGTCACGCTTCCAGGAAATCTCGAGGTGATGAAATCGTCTCCCTCGGTATTTTCACTGTTCGGTCGTGTCTCTGGTTTTTTTCTTTCTTTTTACTTGTTCCGTGCAGCAATAGCTTAACTCTATTCCGAGGTAATAAAATTGTCTCTTAGTCATGCCGTCCTTTGCCATTTCACGAAATTGCTAGGTAATGTTTGCGAACACTGCTTTTCCTCACTGCAAGGATGCAATTTCACTCATGAAGACAAATTACGGATGTTTTAAAAATATTCACGATTTATCAAAATGGACCGAAAAGTCAGCTAACGAAAGCAAACATGTGTTCCTAGCTGCAGGAAATTTTGCCAGGAACAACAATTCTGCCGTGCTAAGGAAAAACACCGTATTAACCTTCAAGCGTTGCCAAATCTCCTCCAGTAAATCAGGAATTTACTGAAGTAGTTGTGAATATTTTTCTTCAAAATTTCCTGACTATTTTTCTCGCTTTTTAAGCTAAAATATCTGAAAATTTCAAGGAAACGTATGCATAAATTTCGTCATAAATTCCTGTTTTATCCGGGTAAATTTGGCAACTCTTGAATGTTCATACAGCGTTCTTCCTTAGCACGGCAGAATTGGACAGCAAATAGGAACTACGATTTCTCTCTCATCCTTAATAACACATTTTTGCCTAGGGAAACTAATGGTACATGCGTAGTTTTTAAACTGAGCCAGAAAGTGTAGCTCTTATTTGCAAGATATAGTTCAATCCTAGTGATTCCCTTTCCCCGCAAGGGCTTCACCATTGAGTCGCTGCTCGATGGCTAACAAACCAAAACACCACCGTTAAATGATCATGTTATATTCTTGAAATGGGTACAGAACAAGCGCCCTGCATCATAATTCCTCCTGGTTTTTTTCCATAAAAGCGGAAACGGTAAGGAATGCATTCTTAGTTCCTCAGAAAGCCAAAGTAGCAGCTGAGCCTCAACAGAAGGCCGCGTAGTTAATCCTTGAGTTTTTTCTCGAAGTTTTCTTAAAAAGACCTGATTTTTGTAAAGATCCAGATCCATTGCAAGGCGGTCCCGCATCAAACAGTAAAAAAGCCGCGCGAGCCACTGCGAGAATAGTCAGATTTATTTCGGAAGTGATAGCCTCATGACCAGGAAGAAACGTGTAACTTTAGAGGAAATCCAATGTTTGTGCGCGGTTCTTGCGGAGCATCTCAGCGTCCCGCCCCACGTGGCATCAGGCCCCGGCGGTGTTTTTGAGCGCGGAATCAGCGTGGCGAAAGAGACTCAAAACAGTCAAAACCGAGGGTTTAAAAGGGGCTTTTATTAATCGTGCAGTGAAAATGCGGAATGCCGCGTTTAT